TCTCAGGCACCACACTCACGGTCGCGTGCCAGAATCTCTCGATGGCGCTCGTCCAGAAAGGCGGAGTGTCATGATAGTATTTAATATGCTCTTTAATATGGTGGTAAAAATGTCCGATCAGAATTAATAAAGTGTAACTTATAGCGCCTCGAAAGTCAATGAAGAAAAGTGACTTTTTTGGCCCCCTCCCCCTGTATATAGGCAGTCAAGGATGCCTAACTGATGAGTAATTTCTGATCTTACCATTTTACGCCTTCAACGAGGAAAAGCAAGATCGCCGCGCGTGGCAGTCGTGTTTGTCGCACGTAATGACCTTATTGAGCGGAAACGGTACGTACATATATATACTCCTTATCCCTGAGACGGGGTAGGCGTGGCATTCGAACATGGCACAGAACTGGTTACTCGTGGGATATTTCAATTTGAGACAACCGCCATCTTGTTCTTTGTTGGACAGAGACGTGACCACATTTGGGTCAAAATGAAAATATCTCTCCAAAAGCATAGCCACCACGACGTTTAGTTGAAGTACGCAGCCACGCCTACCTCATCTCAGGGATTTCGATTGTAACTGGATGCAGTCAAAACATCTGAGTTACGGCGGCATGCAGAAAATGCGCGGAATCAGCCCACCCGGCTCTGTTTTTCTTCTAGTTTCCAGCTCAGGTAGAAAAGAACCAGCACTGGGAAACGCCGCGGGTGGGCTCACTCCACGCTCCCTGAAATGCAGAGCCGGATTGCCCTGGGCTCAGAGCACGTCATCGCGTTGTGATTAATTCCTGCAAAATACGACCCCTTAATTCCAACTCCCCATCCTACCTACCACCTTTCCTAAATTTTCCTACCACTTTTTCCAGTTTTTTTCCGGCATTTCCCGAAAAATATCTAGTTCCCCCCACTCAAGATTTTGCAGTCGAGAGGGGGGAGGGGAAAGGTCGTCAGGAACTAATCACTATTTTCAAGTATTGGAAATAGAAGTTGTATAGGACCTTGGCGGCACCACCATTTAGGTGAGAGAGGGATATAGAACCCCAATGAAACGGGAAAAACCGCAAAAAGTCAACAACCGGGAAAAGTTTTTCCCGACGCCGCTCCGCTCAAAGACAAATACGCCCCCCCCTCTCTCCTAACAACGATATCCCCCTTTTTTTGTAGCGCCCGTGAAACGAGAGAAATCAATAATCAAAAAAATTCTCGGACCGAATACGACCCCACCCCGCCTTTGCGATTATCACAACGGGGACGTGCCCTCCCTGGGCTAGTGATTCACGACGCAGATGGCAGTATGGTACTTTCGAACGCGCCAAGAGTCAGGGCAATGAGCCCAACAGATTGGAAGAAAGATAAGGCAGCGTTCAGACTTCGCGACGCGCAGCGCCTCGGTCGCGCGTTCGGCGCGATCGATGCGCATGCTTTCAGCTGCATCGCCCGCGTCGAACCGCGCGAACCGGAAGGCGCTGCGCTCGCGAAAAGTCTGAACGCTGCCGACGCATAATTGTAGGAAAAACCATAACTGCTACGATTGTGAGAACGCATCCATACTGCGCGATTCAGTCGCTTGGATCGCGCGACCACGACACTAACAATCGTTAAACCGACGCCACGGCAGAACTGTTCACCGTGCATGACCCAGACGGTGTAGCAGGGCACATTATTAGTTGAAGATTTTGGTCGAGCCCGTACAACCTCCCCCCGCCCCCTCTGGTTCCCTTCTCATCGAATTGTCGAGCAGGGGGAAGGGATAAATAGCACAAGTGAACAGGAAAGCCGCGAGGAAAATACGACCCTCTCTCTACCATTTCTTAGATTTCCTCCAACTTTCTAACACTTTTTCCGGAATTTCCCGCTTGGAAATTTTTCCTTCTTCCACCCAAAAATTTTGCTGTTGAGGAGGGAGGTACAATGTACACATGAAACAGGGAAAACCACGAGAAGTCGGCAACCTCTCTCAAGAGGGAAATACTCCCCCCCCCATCTCTTTCAGCGACCAAATACAACCCTCTTGTTGGAGAATCCTCAACAACGATGCCCACCGCGGTGAGGCGCCTCCTCTCACGGACCGCATGATCCAACCTATTCGCGCAATCGAATCGCAGAGTATGAAGGCGCTCTCATTCTGCCACAAGATAGACATCCAGAAAGCGGGTAGTGTGGGTCCGCAGACCAAGACTTTACGAACAAACTCTACCTGGTAACGTAACTTCGCTGGCAATTTCACCTTGCTTCCATCGGAACTGAAAGGCTTCATAATTTTTCAAATCGAATCTTTATTAAATTTCATAGAAACTATGTACAAAATAAACGAGAGAAATGTTCACTTTGAAAAACATTATCCTAAGGAGGATAACAAAACGATGATTTTTCGTGACTTCGTTGATAAAGACTTTTCAAGAAAAAGGTATTCAATTCGAAAACAGCTATATCTGCCTTAATGACCCATTAAGAAGAAATATAGACATCTGATGAACGAAAAAATGTTTGAAATAAGCGGGTGCAACTAAAGAGAAGCACGAATACTCTGCATATGCATACGAATGATCACAACGACGGGAATAGACGACAGACAGGCGAATAGACAGCGGGGCGCGACATCGAATCGCGCAATATTGTGGAAAAAAGAGCACACAGGACAAAAAAAAGTAGAAAAGGGAGGTGATAATGATGAATGCTTTCCCAGAACTGAACTGAACAAGAGGCAGTACAACAATTCCATATACTCAGCAATCATCACGAACATTGTGGTAACATCACAGATGGGGGTGAACACAATTTCAAAGAAAAAAAACAACAATAAATACTCGCAGGTAGTCACGATCACAACCGATACTGAGTTGTTGGGCACTAGATCGTATTGATTTCAAGAAAAAAAATCGAGGGAGGGCTCAACGACGACACACGCATAGAATTTCACGAAAGAACTATGACCATAGGCTAGCCATAATCTGTTAGGAAGTGATAATTGTGCACATATAGGTTAGTAAAGGAAGTGAATAGGAGAGGAACAGTAGACAGAGGGGACATTGAGGGCTATTTGAGTCTTTGAGTGATACTGGCAAGAGCAACGGCGAACGCTTGAGTTGCAGAGAACGGTCGGCGGAAGTCCAACGTGTATGCACCACCTTCGATTCGACCAAATTGCAGCACCTGTTTTCCGTCCATTTCCACCTGGGTAAATAACAAGATTGGATAATAGTGAGAACGATTATCCAAAAAAAGGCCTAAATACCTGGAAATTCTTCGCCGACTCCTGAGTGACACGTCCGCCAAAGTCCAGCTGCAAGAGAAATCAATCAACAAATGCTTTAGTTCGACCGGATCCTTTGAATTTTCTGGGGTGTGCTGCCACTGCTTAAATCCTTAAAGACATAGCCCGCGATCCTATAGGATGCACCACTCTGGTGACTCGAAGTTGAGCGGCAAGACACCCGGAGACCCACCACAGATATCAGGCCCCGCCCATAAGCGCCTGTCTCCGCCCATTTCTTTCACATTCCTAAACGCTAATCGGCGATATTCCACGCTTCTGTGTAGTTTCTCGCCAATTCACCTTGTTGCTGCATCTTCAACGGCTCTTCGCCGCAGGCTCTTACAATACTTAAAACGCAAAAGGGTCTTGTTAAGGGTGTTTCGCTAATTTCAGCCATCTTCACCAAACCCTTGACAGCTCCAGGTAAAAACTGCTAAAATATTTTCCTCCATCCCTATAGAACGTATCCAGTCCTTAGAGGATGTACAACTCTCGCGACTTGAAAATGAGTGGCAAGACCTTAGAGGTCTATCACAAAGGTCAAACCCCGTCCATTAGAGTCAGTCTCCGCCCACTCGCTTTAATTTCGTAACAGGTGTACGGCATCTGTTCCCTTTTCTGTGTTGTTTTTCTGCGTGTTTCTCTTATGCGCGTTGACTGCCCCTTCGCCCCACTCTCTGCTCTTACAACATTAGCACGGTCAGGGGTCTTGTAGAGGCTGGGTGATCCTTTTGCCTTTTACTCACTGATAACTCAATTTCCACATATCCTCGTGTTTCTGAACCCCACTACCAACAATTTGCAATCGCACCCTCGAAGCCGCACTCCACGATGATTGGGAGGACGGATATCTGCAACTACTGCGCTCTCCCCACTCCCGGATTCCGCCATACCGCAGAAAGCGGAATGACGTCAACGAGGAAAACCAAAGTTTTGAGCCTCCGCCCATCCAACTATTGTGAAATGCGCCTTCAAATAGCAGTATTTCACAGATATGGAGGGCCTTACCTGATACACTTGATTATGTTCGTTCCAAAACGGTGTTTTATTGTGCATTGTGAGAATAGGCGTTGTCGACGTTGATTTTGGCGCTGGGCCCTCTCCAAGCGCACGCTTCATCTCTTCCAGTGTGCGCATCAGCTGCCTCACTTCGCCTCTTACATCACCACTGCCGACCTGAATTGCATTATTGCTTTAGTTTTTCCCCGCCGTCTGAAAAGTCCATTCCGACCTACCTTTTTCTCGATTTCGTTCACCCTTCGTAGCAATTCTTTCATCTGTGAGCGCATCTTGTTGATCGAGGCACGGTCTCGTTTCTGAAACTTGGAATGTAAGAAAAAAAACACAGCTCGGCTTGGTGGGGGCACTGAATGATACCCAGCTCAGCTTTTACAGGCCACTTCGTGAGAAAACCTGTTAACTCCTGTTACCCCTTCGCAGCTTCACAACAATTTGCAAGTAAGACCTGGTATCAAACGTGAACTAACAAATAAAACTAGCTGGGGTACAAAATGCCACCTCCAAGCCGAACAGGACCGAAGAGAAGGAAGCGGTAAAAGAAAGAAAGGATAAAAAATCAAACCAAATGTTACTAACAGGGTTGAAATCTGCATGACGATGGCTGAGCTGTCCTGCAATCCTCGCCAGTTTATCCAAATGCGCTTTGATGTCATCACTGTCCCGTTGTTGGCCAGTTTTCACCGCAGCTGAAGAGCTTGGGGCTGAGCTAACGGACGTAACAGCGGATGACGTGCCCGGTATGAGCGGATCGCGATCGTCGACTCCATCTGAAAAAATTATAAAATTTGTTCCGAGGCCGAGTCATGAAACATAACACATAAATCCATTTAAGTAATGAGTTTCGGTGAAAAACGACCACTTTCCTCACGTAGCCACATTTAGTGATAAATAAAATATTGGAAAACGTGGAAAGCACTACTTCCTCGTGCAGCAATGAAAATTACTCGTTGGCATTTCATCATCATGGACGCTATGGACATCGGTGGTTATGATTGACTCTAGTGCTAACGTAGTCCGAGAGGAAAGACGGGGGGGGGGAGGAGGAGAAAGAGAGAGAGCGCTGGCGGGCGGCCATGTAACTGCTTTTTCTACGGAATTTGTGAATCTGGTCATCTGCGCTCTGCCAACTGAGTTTTGTAGAGGGAAAGGAT